TCTAACGAGAGTCGAGATTGTGTCTGAAGGTATTTTAGACCATTCTTCTTTACAAAACATCTCTAGTTCAATCAGGTTTGATGGTTTCCAACCACAGACAGCTCTATTTAAGTGACACCACAGATTTTCAATAATATTCAGATCTGGGGAGTGAGATGGCCATTCCAGAACGTTGTACTTGTTCCTCTGCATGAATGCCTTAGTATATTTTTGAGCAGTGTTTAGGGTGGTTGTCTTGTTGGAAGATGCAGCCCCGGCTTCAGCAGCTTCAGCTTTGTCACTGATTCCTGGACACTGGTCTCCAGAATCTGCTGATATTGACTGGAATCCATGCGTCCCTCAACTTTAACAAGATTCCCAGTCCCTGTACTGGCCACACAGCCTGACAGCATGATGGAACCACCACCATATTTTACTGTAGGTAGCAGATGTTTTTCTTGGAGTGCTGTATTCTTTTTCCTCCATGCATAACGGCCCTTGTTCTGCCCAAATAACTCTGTTTTAGTTTCATCAGTTCACAGCACCTTATTCCAAAATGAAGCTGCTTGTCCAAATGTGCTTTAGCATACCTCAAGCAGCTCTGTTTGTGATGTGGGCGGAGAAAAGGCTTCCTCTGCATCACTCTCACATACAGCATCTCCTTGTGTAAAGTGTGCTGAATAGTTAAATGTTGCACAGTGACTCCATCAGCAGCAAGATGATGTTGTAGGTCTTTGGTGCTGGTCTGTGGGTTGACTCTGGCTGTTCTCAACATCCTTCACTTCTGTTTATTCCAGATTTTTCTTGGTCTGCCACTTCSAKCCTTGACTTGAACTGTGCCTGTGGTCCTCCATTTTCTCACAATGTTTCTCACAGTGGAGACTGAAAGCTGAAATCTCTGAGATAGTTTTCTGTATCCTTCCTCTAAACCATGACGSTGAACAATCTTTGTTTTCAGCTCATTTGAAAGTTGTTTTCAGACTCCCATGCTGCGACTCTTCAGAGAAGATGCAAAGAGGAGAAAAACCTACTATTGCCCCCTTAAATACCCTTTCTCATAATTGGAGTCACCTGTGTATGGAGGTCAAGGGTCACTGAACTTACCAAACTAAATTTGGGTTCCAATAATTAGTTCTAAACCAATAAAATGATAACAGTGCCCAATTTTATCCACCTGCCTAATTTTGTTTAAACAATTATTGCACACTTTCTGTAAATCATATAAACTTCATTTCACTTCTCAAATATCACTGTGTTTGTCCCCTATATGATATATTTTACTGATTTCTTTTATCCACACAATCAATGATTTATAAAGGTAAATCAGGAAAGGTAAAGGCTGCCCAAACCTTCGCACCACACTGTACAGTTATGTGCACAGACAGAAAAGGCCTTTTGTATAATTTTTTACTGTCTTGCTGTAGACACTGTTTTATGCTTACAAGCCTGAATATGCTGAAATATTCTCTGTTTTAAATTCATTGCAGCTTGTGAGTCTGACTCTAAATAGGAAAATATCAAATGGACAGGTGACGACAGGACAGTATTGTTCATATTGTTTATGTAGTCAACTATCAACTTTAAACTATTCCTGAGGAGAATGACAGTAAATTAGTTATATGAAAGCTCTGGGTAAGTTAACCCTGAGTTTAGAGACATGCTAAATTATCAAAGAAGGGAAAAAAATGAGTTTATCAAAAATAATAACAGATTCTGATGTGAACCAAGCTGTCAGACATGAGTTGTTCATTTTTAATAAATCCAGTACATATTAATGCAGAATTACTGTACTGGAAAATAATTTTACTTTGTAGAATGGATGTGTCATCATTACCAAATAATGAATCATTTTTGCATCATTTTTATCATTGTGACTTAGAAATAAAAACAAAAATCTGATATTCATTTGGTCTTTTTTGGTTAATTAACAAGTGCCAGCAGAATTTAAGGAGACCCTGAGGTCATCATGTTTGCTGGATCATGAAAAACAACTAAAACACAGAATAATGGTTCTTGATAAATATTAAGCAGCACTGCTGTATACCTTTTGAATCTCTGCTCAAGCTTTATTTCTTTCACAGCAAGCACTGAGGTCATATTAAAAAAAATGCACTTTGGAAACAATCAAAAAAAGTTACATTTTTTTTATTTTAAACTGCAATGTTGCAAAAGGAGGTGACAAAAACATTATATTTTATTCAATTTCTACAAGTAAGTGTTCAAATTCACATCTGAGAGAAGAGCCAATTATGTCATTGGCTGGGGTTAGAAAAAAAGAACCAAATCAAAACAAAACAACAAAGAAGAAAAAGTGCATATTTTTTTCTTTTTCTTCTTTTTGTCAGAAATTAGATTGTTGACTTAAAATCATTATGAAAAAAACACTTCTGTTAGAACATACACACATGCTGCACAAGGATTTATGTCTTTTAAACTTTTTTATAGGAAACTGGTGTAATGATAAACATTTATTGAAATACAGGTCACAAAATACGTATACACTTATTCTTTTGCAGTTGATTTGATCACAAATGATCTGTTTAGAGACAACACACATTTTAAAATATGCAATTAATGAAAAAAAACAGATCAATCTCTAGAAATCAATTTGATAGCTTGATTATTAGCATAACATTAGTATAACCATAGCTTAAGCTTTAGCCGAGTTATATTTGTCAAATTTTAATCGGTTTGCTTTTAAATGATTTGATGCTTAATATAAAAATGAAGACACATTTCAAAGCAGCCCACAATCTCTTAACATGAGCATTAGTTTTTCACTTTAACTGGGGTGTCACACAGTGAACTTAACAAAAAGAAAATAATAATAAATTTATGGTCACCAAATTCGTGTCTCTGTTGTGTAATAACACTGTTGCACTTTACTTAAAGTCTGTTCAAATAATGCACATCAAGAAAAGCATAGAACAGCATCTAAATACTACAAATGTTGTTTATTGCATACTGGTTTGAAACTGAGTAATATCCCATCGTCAGAAACATACTGACTTCATGATAGTTAATATCCAAAGCTTATCTGCTTCATTGTTTACAAAAACAGCTGTAGTTGTTGTGGCACTTTGGTGGCTATAGGTTCTCTATAACACTTGGTGCTCTCACTCTTTGTAACAGTAGACACCGTAAGACTTGACCTGTTTGTCGGGAAAACTAACAAAGCGCACTGCAGATTCTGTGGGGCTGCAGTTCTTGCGGGGTCTCGAAATGGGGTACCGGACACTTCCATCAGCCAGCCAGCCAGCATCGCAGCGATCATAACCCTCGAGCTTCCAGGCGGCGAAAATGTGACCCACCTTGGCGATCTCTGCACCGTCGTCAATGCACGCCTGCACAGCCTCATCATAGGTCAATCTCTCTGGCTGGACCAGCCAATAGAAACGACCTGATAGAAGAGATAGCACAATCAGTTGATTCACTCCGTGCTGTTTCTTCATCTCAATCATTTCTACTCTAGACAACAATTTAAGAAAACGGAGACCAAAACATGTATTTCACCCTTGAGTAAGGAAGCATGGCAGAACACATCAAAGCGTCTGCTCTGCTTGTTTTGACGTCCATAACTTCTGAGGCCAGGTGTGCTACTGGAGCCCCCGCAAGGTTCTCTGGGTTTGGTGATGGGATACTGCACTGTGCCRTCACTCAGCCAGCCAGCATTGCACCAGTCCAGACCATCCTTCCAGGCTTCATACAGCTGATCAAAGGAGGCAACYACAGCGCCCTGATCTATGCAGGCCTGCACAGCATCTTCAAAGTTCAGGTTGTAGCGGCCATGATGGGGAGAGTATGGGAACACAACACCTGAAGGAAGCAAAAGAGTTTTTTTAGGGTAACTATGCTGTACTGTGTTTTTTAAGTGAAAACCTGATGAGTAATGAATTAAAAAAGAAGGSCCAAATCTTCAAATTTGTATGCAGCAGATAAGAATGTCAGGTATTATTGTAAAAAGACGTAGATGCACTGATTTGTTTGAAACTAATTATAAATAATGTTTAACAGCTTTGTACAGTATATATTTTCTGTTCTTATGCAGTCTTAATTTTAAGTAATATAATTTCTTTGGTTTTCAGTTAAAATGTTTTTAACTTTAGTAAAAACCGGAATCTTCCTCAGCTTGGAATGGGGCTGACTTGCTGCTCTGAAGCAGGACACTTTATCCATGTTATTCCTCTGTGGAATCTCAGTAGAAATTGGGAAATGCAGCTGAACAAAAACCCCAAACACACACCCACACAAACATCCATCATTTGGTAGTTCTCCCTGCATGCTTAGAACATGGCTGAGAAGCAGAAGTTATACAGAAAATAATGGAAATGGGGACTTCTTAATGAAAGGAGATGGCTTTATCAAGACAGAGAGACAAGATAAGACAAAAGCATTTTCAAGTGAACTGGCACTCAAGAGAATTAAAGAAAAAAGAACAGAAAATAAATTTTCATCAACCAGAATAGCATGTCAAAGAAAACTGCCATTTTTTTAAATTAACAGTGTGAGAAATACATTTACCTTGAGCTGGACCATTTTCTACCTCCAGGATGACATCATGCATCACGTCTTCCACTCCATTCATGATTTCACAGCGGTATTTTCCCATGTCATCCATGGAGACATCATCTATTATTATGGAAGCATCATTATCATCGGAGCCCTGCAGAAAGACACGATCCTCAAAGCTTCCATAGGTCTTCACATGGAGTCCCATTGATAACAGGACGTCTTCAGTCACGGACTCATCCTCTGACACTTTGATCCATTTAATTCTCAAGCTGCCATAGAGATTGCTGTTTGGAGCTCTGCAGGGCAGCGTGACATTGTCACCTAGTTCAGCCTTGACTAGAAAACAAAAAATACATTTCTACATTACTATTGAAACAACACATTAAATAAATGTCATTAATTATCCATCAATTACAATAATTTTCTACAATGAATGTGTTTCTGTTATGAAACAGATTCAGCAAGGTGGTGATTAGAGATACCTTTACAGTGAATTGATGTCTGCTTTCTTCTTTATGGATAATCAATTTGCGTTTATGCACAACAATAAAGCACCTTGCAGCTATGGTCCATCAAAGACTCTAGAGCAGTGATCCCCAAACTACAGCACGCGGGCCGGATCCGGCCYGCCTCCCCATTTGGTCGGGCCCCCAGAACAATACCAGAGAGCATTTAGATTTTTTTTTCATATATGTGTGTTTATATTTGATTATAAAGTTGGACTTTTGCAATAAAATGTTCCTTAGTTATGAACTATTTTCATTATTAACTATTATTAGTTAGTAACTATTTCATACATACACGCATATAACATGACATTCTGTTCCACCCTTCTGCGGTCTGTGCCCCTGTCTGGCAGCCCCCAGAAAAAAATCCTAAACCCGCCCCTCTCAAAGAGAGAAYRGAATAATGGCGAAAAGATTAGGTAAGAGAAAAACTGATCCAGAATGCAGGGCATTTAAGCTGCAGTGGACAAACGATCATTGTTTTGTTCATCTGTCAAGAGGCGGTGGCGGTATTCAAAGAATACAATCTGCGGCGGCACTATGAATCCTGTCACAAAGACAAGTATGATAGCTTGCAAGGCCAAATGYGAGCAAACAAACTCTCAAAGCTAAAAAGTGGACTGTTAGCTCMGCAGAATACATACTGTGAAGAACCCAGAGAGGGTTATTTGATTGTACTTTCTGGAAAACAATAAATTTTTACATTTAGGCACTCCTGCAATAGTCACACTTTTTCTGTTTCAAACTGACTCCGGGCCCCCCCACCAGAGAAGGGAAAAGTTATGTGGTCCTTACAGGGAAAAGTTTGGGGACCCCTGCTCTAGAGTGTGGTTTATTTGATTTAGTATTTGGCATTAGCAAGTTTTTTTTGCTGCCACAGCCAATCGCCTCTTTTAGTCTCCTTCCTGCTGTTGTGAGTCCTGGCAACAGGCCTTTGGATTTAGGAGCAATAACTTTCAAAATTAAATACTTTTCCTTTATGCGTTCCATCTGATTCGTCTTAAATATTAGTTTGTTTTTAAATGAGTAACAGAAATTGATTCCTCTGAGCACTGATCTATGTCCCCTCTGCACAAGCAAGGCCAGCTTCTAGCTCRAAAACTGAGGGCTCCCATCATCTCCCTGACCTCCGTGATTAGACCTCACAGGACTTGTTAACTTGAGAAGACCTCGACCAGCAAGTGCTGGCCTGAGCCAGGCTGTAATAAGCAACAGATGGATGGGTGAACAGAACCCCTGACTCCACATCTAACATGTTAGTTAACGTCACTATATATTGTATAAATTAAGAGAAAGACAATGTAACTGGTAACTGTCATGATACAGAAAAGACAGTAAGACGTAACAAAGTTTTGTCTTTTTTAATTACTATCCCGTCTGCACCCACTCCCTCTCTATCTCTTCTGTGTCTGATTTRTGTAATGTTATTTACTCCTAATGCATGCTTTGTGTTCACAAGCTAAATCTGCCTCTGATTTCTGCTTCAGGAGGTTGAAATGTAAAACAACAAAATTCAAGCTGACATGTCTCACCAGAAGCTTGTCTGGAATACAGTGTCCCTGACTCTTCAAAAGGAAGGAGCAAATATCCCTTATGGGTAATATGAGAAATAAAAGGAGCTACTGGCTTGCTTCCGTCTGCTCTGCTCAACCCAAAACTGTTGTGCAACAGAAATGACTGATATGAAGGAGGCTCGTAATAAAATCCGTGTCCTTTTCAGCTTTGGAGTTTTGTTTGGCGTTAGTTTATTGTTTTATTAAAACACTTTTTATCCACTTATCCAAGTTGGAATCTCTGCTTTTATGGTTTTTTCTGCCTTGATGTGTTATTAAGTGTTATTTTTTTCATTCAAGTGGTGCATTTAAAGTCACAAGTCTGGCTTTTTTTTCAAGACTAGTTCACTATAGTAACTCATAGAGCATATATGTTTGTCAAATAAAAAAAAAGATAAAAGCCAACCTTTTATTTTTTTAATGAACACAATTTTCCATGATCAAATACATAGTATATGCATGTATTAGTATTAATACATGCAAATTAGTTGAGATGTTTATTGTTAAAGGCACTAAACCATTAAGGTAAAAATATTAATCACATGTGTCTCATGAGAACCTGTGCATGTATTATGTAAATGGTGCAAAAAATAACTAATTTTGATGTTTGGTCCTGATTTAYTGCCACACCTCTCATGCTTTATACCATTACAGTAACAAGTTTATGACTACAGCAGTTAGTGCATCATAACATTTGTGATAAGACACAATGAAATGATTGAATGTTCTTTTTTTATGAAAGCAGGCAAAAAACCTGAAGAAAAAATGCCTAAACTGAAATAAATGTTCATAAAGTWTAAGAAGCAAATGCAAGGTAGGCTTAAATAGGTTGAAACTGTCTGGAACATCCTTTTCAGGTTACGATTTTTTTTCTAAAGTGTTATTTTTGTTTTCTTGTTAGACTTTATCTCTGTTCAGTTGCAACAAAAAACTCTGGAGGCCTTTTGTGTGAAACTGTGTGATAACTGTTTCGGCTAAACTGTACTTTCCATATTTTATTTGTTCTGTAGTGTCAGTGAGCTTCATATTAGAAGCACATCTTCACAAAGATTAAGCAGAATCACTGCTGACAAGTCTAATCTGTTGCTCAGTTCCACTTCATGCCTCTTTGTTTTCATTTCATTCATGCAAGTGACTCCTTCCATTGCCACATTTTTCATTAGGCCCACTCAAGTTCCAAGTGGTCCACAAGATGCCAAGCATTGTAAAAGCTAAGTAACACCTTCACTGCTTATGACTAATATTTTCTTCAAAACAAAAACAAGGTTTTAAAGACGATTTGTTGCCAGTTTTGCCAAAGAGAAATGACTCAGCCTCTCCTGCTCTATAAATTCTCYGCATGGGTATCAGCGGCGTGTGGAGCAGCTGAAACCGGCGCGTGACTCAACAGCTCATCAAAGCGCTCACAAAAGGTGACATCAGCACTAAACTCCCAATAGGTGTGATGCTACCCAACTATAAAACCAAAATATTTCCAAGGTTTCCTCGTGAGGTTAGAGCAAAGAAAGGAGTTCATTGTACTGTTGCATAGATTTATTATCCCATGCTAAGTAAAAAATCATCTGCTGGATTTGATTTGAAATCCTGCAAAATGAGACACAGTGAGGCCACAGATACATATAATATTCAAAATGTGAACATCTTGAAGCATGTAACTGTAATAGTAATTCCATGTTCTCTCCTGTTCTTGTAATCAACCCTGCAGCCTCAGTCATGTGAGGCACATTATGCTCATAATGCAACAGCCTGCTGTGTGAACCTTCAAAGTCATGGCAGAAGAAGGAAGAATCCTTTTTTTTTCCTGGAATCAAAAATTTCATGTGACTCTAAGGTCTAAAGATGAAAGAACATGTTTCCTTTGCATGCAAATGTGTGTTTAAATAATGCAAAACCGTATCTAACAAACTTTTTTTTTCTTGAAGAGTTCAGTTGGTAACGAGAACATTGTAAAACCCAAAGTAAACATGTATAAGAAAAAAAGCAGCTGCAGCCAAGACTTACTGCACTTTTACTACCAAGCACAATTTTCTCTCGCTCTGTAAAAAGCTGCATTAGCAAATGATCATAACCATCTGTTTCTCTGCAACACTGAACTTTAAATTACCAACAATTTAGGGATCCAAATCTGTGTGCTGAAACTACAAGAGTCCTAATTAGGGTGTTTAACCCAAAAGCTTCATTTCAAGTCACTGATCAATTCTGGCACGGATTTTAAATGTGAACACCTGCAAATGTGAAGAGTTCACTTTGCTTCTTGACATCACTCTGTGCCACACCCTTCAACAGAGCAGCAAACCACTGGATGCATCCTGCAGCTTTTACTCTCCTCTTGCTGTTGGCCCRTTTGTGTTGGGATGGAGAGAGGATTAACAAGCCCAGCTGGGACAAAAGCAGCAGGCCAACTCCTTCTCACTAAGTTCAATAAACTATTTCCTGTGTTCTGTCATCTGGGACGAACACAAATGTGTGTCTGTGTGTGGGGCGTGTCATCATTTGGGCACACATCTGCAATCATTAGGAGGAGAGAGAAGCATCAACATCTTATTTTAACATTTCCAGCCGAGCCCCCACATTGCTCCACCCAGCTGGACCAATAAGCAGCCACAGTGAGCGTTAGACTTAATAAACTGTTACCTCACAGGGAAAGACAGAATCATTTGGCTGTCGTTCAGTTTGGGACTCTATACATTTGGCTGTGGGTCATTAATCTTCGCTTGGCCCTTGTCAGGCTGCTTGTTGCCATGGCTCTTTTCCAAAAGCTCCCATAGATACAGTGAGTCACTATGTCAAAAGACAGGCAACACCCCATGAACAGACAGGCTGCTCATATTAAAAAAATCTATATACAACACAGAACAGTGACCGATCTGGTTGTAGCTGAGCGAACGCTTTTACATAATACAGACAGAAAGAAGTCRTTTAAGGTGCATAGAAACATGACATCATGGGCTCGTGGGAGACATTTCAATGTCTGGGTAAAGAAAGCCTAATCCCCTAATAGTGTGAAGCCCTTCTCCCCACAGAGGAGCCGTTTCCTCTACTTCTTGGAAGAAAGACAGCTGAAAAATGTCCAATTTTGCATGTACTGAGTCAGCTTGCTGGGCTGCTAAAAATGCATTAAACATCACTCAATCTATGATATGATGGCTCCTGGATAGCCTATATTCTTTTGCACCCAGCTGTAGTACTCTACAATAGCTCACAGTTGCATTTGGTGTCAACTTGCAATTGTGTGTGAATTCAAATGGAGTGCAAGTTCCATAAATTCAGCAAACATTTAAGCCCTGGAAACCCGTGGCTATTTTCCCCATCAAAAGAAGAGTTTGTGTCCACAAAACTAATATTAAATAAATAAAACACACACACACAAAAAAAACAAGTACTACTACCCCACTTTCAACCTGGCATTTGTGACCCACTTTTAGTACAACAAGTGGGATTAATAGTGTGAGTCTTGTGCAGCAGAGCCACCACTAAGCCCCCCAGTGAATGACAGGGTAATTTATTCACCAGCCACTCCATGCTGTGGTGGTCTGTTTGCAAGTCAATGAGTCAGTGGTGAATCGCAGTGCGTCTGGAAATGTGTGTTACCCCCAGAGACAACTCTGTTTGTCAGTTTTACAATGACTCTGTTGTTGCACAAGCTGGCTGTGGTACCACTTTACTCAGAACCCTCACACAGCCTGTCCTCCAACTCTTCTTTATGCACATTGTCATATTTACCCATATGCATTCAGAAAAAATTTAATAAATAAATAAATAAATAAATAAATAAATAAATAAATAAATAAATATACAAACACACACAATCAATGAAAGCATTTTTTCTTACCTTTAATTGGAGTGGAAGGACTTGTCATTTCACAATACACACTGCCAGCCAGGGTCAGGAAGATTATTGTGATGCACTGCAGACTCATCATTTTCTTCTTTGTGTGTCTCTCTTTACCACTTCTTGTTCTTAAAATAAAAGCCCTAATAAATCAAATATGAAAAATTTTATAATGAAAAAAATAATTGAAAAAATGAAATTGTTATTCTTTCTAATTCTTATTTAGCTATCAGTCTTTTCCCCCCTCTTTGTGCAGTAGCTGCCTGTTGTGGTGCTACTGGAAAAATTTGGGCTCCTCAGAGGTCCAGACAAGTTCCTTTTATTGTAGCCTTGCATGGTAGAGACCACTCCTCCTCCCATCAGCCCATCACCATTCATAGGTCCTTTACCAGGTCCCTCTTGGCACTTCTCATAAGAAAAAAAAGCCCTTCTCTATCTTAAGAAAAAAACAACATAATTTTGGCAATTAACCTGGAAAATTTTGTAAAAAGCCAAGTGCATGTTAGAAAAATAATTTAAGTGACTGGTTAGAAAAAAAAACAATGTATAGCTTAACAACACATAATTAGAATTGTTTAATTTCTAATGAACAAATGATTAAAACAACTCATTATGTAAAGTCAGATATTTTAAAATATACACAACCAACTGTGCATGGATGTTTTGCATCTTGGTTCTTTTATTATGTACTGTATAGTCCTTTTCTTTCTTTTTTCTAATTTGAAGCTTTGATTATCAGCACATGTGACCATTAAGTTTAGAAAGGAAGTAAGGAAATAGCCACACTGTGCAGTTATCATAAAATAGGGACTCCCTGTTTCCTCTGTCAGAGGTAGACATGGAGTCAGTAATGCAGGCAGGATGTTACTTGCAACCAGGAGTGAAGAGGCCCTGTGTAATCACTCTAAAATGTTTTGTCAGCCATTCTAGTGGTCTTTGAAAGATGGCAAACATGAAAATGGAACATGTTGGCTTGGCTTCTTTAGACTGTTTCACCCTGGAGTTATTGTAACTCCATACTGAAGTTATTACAGCAGTGGCAGCCAAAACTGTTTTTGCTTACCTTTTTTTTTTTGTTTAACCCATTTCCTTGTCCGTCAGTCACATAAAAACGACAGTTCAATAAATGTTGGGCCTCAGATCCATAAACCTTTGAGTCTGAACTTAAATTGCATCCTTGAACTCCAGGCTGGGGCAAAACAATATGCAGCCTATTTCAGCAATTGTTCCAAGAATATTCCTCAGGCATCACGTCACAGGATGACACTTTAATCACACACGACCCAAACAAGAGGATATTGCAGTTCCACTGAAAGACTACGATCCTAAAACACAGCTGGGATCACCTACTGCAGTGCGTCGGCATACGTGAGGTAATCGAAGAATATCAAAGACAAAGCAGCTTGTAACAGTTTTACCATTAATGGCAAGATAATAAACAAAAACTTCCTTCACTGCCAACAGTTGCCCATTTRTGAGGACACAATGATCTGGCGAACATGTGTTGGAAAGAGACAATGGTTGTGTTAGTGCAGAAAGGATTAAAAGACAAACTGACCGTGTGTTTGCTGGACGTGTCCAAGAAAGCTGAACCGTGAACAAAGTACATTGCTTGGGGTTAACATGGAGGTTTTTATCTGATCAACAAATAAAAGCCACGTCTCAGTGTGTAAGAGAAGTCAACGAAGTTAGACTTAAAAGGCCTTGATAAACAGTTGGATTGATAGATAGAATCACAAACCACAGAAAAAACTTGATTTTAGCTTTCTCAATAATTCTTGGCAATCATTTTATAGAATGTTAAAAAGCCTGTTTTTTTTCTTAAATGGTGCCACATTAAAAATAAAAAAATAAAAACATTAATTTGTGAGTGGAGCAGTAGAGTTGAGTATGTGGATTGCTCCCAAGAAAAACTTCACAAATCTGCTCTGCCAATGGAAAACAGCTTATTCTGATTTTGACTCGTTTAGTGGTTTCTGTTGGATTGATGTTTGAAGTCTTCAGGCTCTTTCACACTACAACTTTTTAGACAGCTTTTGCCAATGCATGAAAAAAAAGGCAAACACGTTGGTGTAAGTCACATAAGATAGGTGCAAGTTTTGAATAAGTCACCAGCACGGTAATATGGCACAAGTTGTGGTACACCGATGCCATCCGAAACATTTGTTCATGTACAACATTATAACGTATGCCAACGTGATCCTGATGAGTTAGACATAGGTTTGAAACCAGCTGGGGGATTGTGATGTGTACATAAAACTAATTTTTGATCTATGAGCAACTTAGTTCTAAGATATCTGTAACTTACTGTATATTCTAACCTGTAACATGCTCATGTTTATAGTTTAAAATTATTTTAATWGTATGAAACTTAAAAAGACATTTGCTACACGTTGTTAGTGTTAAAGTTACCATGCGTGATTACTTTTAGTGAGGTAGGTATATATTTACCTAAAAATTTCACATTGAACTTCAAAAATAAATTTGACTTTGCATCATAGCCATAAATAAACTCCTTGAAATTGGCCCTTGTCTCTGTAAGGATTTCCTTCCATTTCAGACACTCCCTCTTCAGTATGTCTTCACAACAGTGCTTCATATCGTTTACAACCTTTCATAGGAGCATTGTAAAAGGGTAGGCTCCTATGCAAACAAATAAACATTTCCTCAATGAGGCAGTTTTTTAATCCCAAAAGTGCAGGTATCAGTTTCCCAAGCTGTTGTCTAATTGTTACTGTCAATAGTGGTGAAGTGTGGGGGAGGGGTGCTCTGAGGGACGGGAGCTCGGCTGAGGACTGAACTCCGGGGAGGAGCTTTTGGTAAATAGGTGGTGCTTTGTACCAGCAAGTGTTTAGGGTAGCTCCAAATGGCTAACACTGGAGATTCAAGGATTTCTAAAAAACTTGCATGAATAAGTTTTTGTTGAGGGAATGGCATTATGATATAAATGATATAAAACTCAAAAAAGTTGATTTTGCATAATTCCCCATCTTTAATCATCAAATATTGTTCTAACTGTAAAGCAGAGCTTCTATAAGTTAAGCAAAAGCAAAACACCGATTTTAAAACTTTATTGCACTGTTTTACAATTTATGGGCTGATTCAAATCCTACTAATACTGTAGTATCACAATACTGCAAACATTAAACCACACCAGAATATTGAGCAAACCAAACAAACGCAATGCCCTCAAACTCAAAGGCAAGGCACACACATGTGCTTGTGATTAATCACATGAAGACTTACTGAGCACATTTTAAAAGTCCCACCCTGAAACTCCTATGTAAGTTTGCTGAGTTAAAGTCTCAAGAACATGAGGACATCCACAGCTGTCTGTGCAGCTCCCAGCTCGGACCAGGTGGTACAATTCTTCTTAACACTTATCAGCTCCTTGGATCAAGGCTGTTAAAATGCAGGATGCTGTGAATAACATCTGAAGTGTGACCATCAGAACTCTTGACAGTGTCCTATATAAACTTCCTATAAGAGCAGATGGGGAAAGGTTGTAGCTTAAAAAAGCATGGGTGATCCTGTATTGAGCGGGTTAACTTTAGCCACAGCCGAACATATGTTTCTTGTTAGCATCACACGTGACTGAAGTTGGAATCATTACAGATGATGACGTGGAGATGATGCCTTGTAAAGAGATGCTGGAGTCTATGAATGGGATTTTAAAAGGTCTGGGTGGGATGGGAAAGCAAATGTGCTGAGTGGCTTCATACGTGAGCGGAGTAGCGTTGATGCCACACATCTGCTGTGTCATCGTCCTCTCCCCTCTGTATGAGGTCAGGAGGCAGGAAAAAAACAGTGCTCTTTATTTTGTGTTTTGTAATGAATATTTTCTGTCAACAGATCAGGATTAGAGCTGGCTCTGCACCATGGTGGCCACACACTTGGCTCTTCGAGCCRTTCTGTTTTCCATCTGTGAGCGGTGACTAAACAGTGATCACAGTGGTGGAGGCAGAGGGGAGCTTTGCTTGGCTGTCAGTGCAAGTTGTCATGGCACATGCAAACCACCATGCAGTAGCTGAGGTATTGGTTTGAATGATTTGTTAAATTTCATGAAGAAGTGTGGATTGAAAATGCAGTTAGTTCTTTTTAGCAGACAGTCTTAGATACATCTGAAAAATAGTGTAATGTATGTTGCAGTAATGGGATGTGTGGCAGCCATGTTTTTGCTTACAAGGAAGACAGGTTTCTTCACACTGTTTCCATACATTTTATCAAAAATGCCCACGATAAACCTGAGAACATTCTAAAATTAGCTTGAGACATCAGTGATAACTCTTCAACTGTTTAAAAGAAAATAGAAATTAAAATTATTTTGAACGTGTTCAAAATTCAAGCATCAGCCTCTGCGGCTGATGTGAGGAAACTGAAAACCTCATGAACATTTCCAGACATTTTGGAGACTCCCTCACGAATGTCGACAGTCTCACCCAAATGATTTACTGGATTAAGTCCTATTACAGAACAAAACTGGATTCAGTTTCTTGTGTTTTGAAGATGTTTGAAAGACTTCATCAGAAGAAGCTTTTTGCAGCTGTTTCTCTCAAATATTTAGAAATACCACAATTTAGATGACTAATAATTAACGCCAACATGAAAGTAAAATATTGAAAATTTTACCTGAAAAACTTAACCACCCTGTCTGCAATAAACTGTCACATGAGCTGTCACTAAACTACCACAGTACCTCTCAGTATAGGGACCATTCCTTTTGAGYTGCTTTTATTATTATGATAAAACATTTTTAACAATTGTGTTGTACTGACACAATCAGGCAATAGTCTATGGGCCACATTGTGTTTTTCCATGCCTCCATCTGGTTTTGTTCTTCTGCTTGGCTGACGAACTCACACCATGAGGCGTTTGCTTCAATGTTAGTCACAGCTGCAAGGAACTGAGGGAGAATCATCACTGCTAYGCAACTTGGCCAATTATCTTAATTTCATAATTAGGTGCTAAGTTATTACATTATCTAGTACACCTACTAATTTTCAAATACAACTGCTTTTATTTTTATGACCTTGTTTCTTGCARCTTAAATGGGGAACATAATAGAAATGATTAGTTGTAACTTTTGAAAAAGAAAAAAAAGCTTGTAAAAACTTCAAAAGTTCGAGTTTGAGAGTGTTTCAATAGTTTGTTATACAAGTTATTGGCACTCACTTAAAACACACACATTGTAAATTGATACAGAACACCCACCTAAAGTACCGCGGCAGGATTAGGCAACGCACTCATTGTTTGTGAGTCATGCTTCA